ATTCTTAATGTAATATATATATATTATATTAAAGTAAACTTCCATAAATAGCATGTGATGTATTATTTTATAACAATTAGAATAATAAATTAAATTATTAATAAATTATATCAATTATAAATTTTTGTAAATTTTCTTTACAAAATTTTCGTATAATATTTATAAAACACAATGTTCATATAACTTTTATATATTAAATAAATAATAAATTATTTTTTTTTTTTTTTTTTTAAAAAAAAACAAATGTCTATTATCTGATTAAATATTTACATTAAATTGCTAAAAGCTAAACTGCTTTAGCTTGAAATCAAGTAATTACAAATAGAAAGATAAAATATATATAGCTTATTGAATTGTTTTTTTGAGATATTTAAATGGTAGCAGTTTTATACCTTTAGGATTAATAAATAAATAATAAAATCATATTAACATTTTCTTGAAATAATTTTTTATATATTTATAAATGATAATAACTTTTATTTATTGATAATAGAAATATGAAATTACCACTATTTAGCATATTTTGATGAGACAAAGCAAACAAAATATAATTTATTTATTTATGATTACTGAATAATTAGTTAAAATATTTACATTCATAATGCTGGCCAAATGTACAAAAACGGACATAAATGTCCGTTTTTATAATTCCGGCCAAATTTATGTCCGTTTTTATAATTCTGGCCAAATTTGCAAACGGACATTTATGTCCATTTTTATAATTCTTGCCAAATTTGCAAACGGACATTTATGTCCGTTTTATAATTCCGGCCAAATTTTGCTGGGCGAAATTATCTTAATTCTGGCCAAATTAATGTGTAACCTTGAAAAAATTTTTGCCTTTTTTATAGTTACAAGATGGTACAAAATGTACATTAATGCAATGCTTGACCATGAGTTTATAAGTAAATATCCGGTCAAAAGTTATAAAATTGCCTTATTTGTAATTATAATGTTGGTAAGTTGTTTGGACCAATCAGATCTCGTGGGCTAATCTGGCCCATGGGCAGTTTATAAGCTAGGATGTAGTGTACGCCCACTTAGCTTAGAAACTATGCCGATCATTTGGCTGGGGTGAAAAAAACTTTACGTAGAATTAAGAAGTTAGAATTGCAGATCTAAATCTGCTTATTAACTTTATTTATAATGTACCTTGCATTGTGAAACGAAATTTATACAAATTTATCTATATTATTGTACATAAATATTATTTAACAAATTTAAAAAAAAAAGTTCTTTCTTTCATTTTTCCTTTTTTTCTTTTTTTTAAAAAAAAAAAAAAAAATGCACCTAAAATTTGTATACACTTTTCTTTATATTGCCTGATAGTAAATC